CGTACTGAGCCCAAACATACTGTGAACATAGGACCATACTTCTTACCGAGCTGAAACAATTTACTGAAAAAGAACACAGCTTGTAAGTTACACTTACTTGCCTCAGGCAAGTTATTCTTCAGCTGCAACATGTTTCCTATCAGAGGCAAAGGAAATGGCCCAGGAGGCAGCTTCCCTGTTTCAGACATCTTCCTCCATGCTGAACAGACAAGGAGGCAGACAAAGCAAACCAGCAAGAAAACTACTGTGGCTCCCAGACGTTCCACTGCAATGTGGAACGGGGATGTGGGATCAGGAAGGGCTGAAGCTGTGCCCTGGAAGCCTCACTTTATGAAGCCTACAGTAAAAACAACAGTGAAAATGTAATCAATAGCTGCTTTCCTCTCCTCTCGGTTACAAAAATGATTAGAAAAAAATCACTTGCTGCCAACAAACTTGGATTATCTGTTTTAAGTCTCTGTGAGCTTTTTTAAGGTCAGCCTTGTTCTAGTGTAATATCAGAAAGCAGGGACAAACATTAATCATTAACAAACCTTGCATTAACAAACCCTGTCATACTTTCATAGCACACTTGTCTTCTGCCTGTTACTATTGCTTCTATTTTTGTCCTCTGGTGGGATGCTGCAAATACAACAATGTATTTATCTTCAGGCCATTATATACACTTGTGATTAACATCTCCTTGGATATCTTTTAACACTTCTATTGAACACAGAATTCCCGGTTAAAAAGTATGCTCCATCGCAGAAGAGTTGTTTTTCAGCTGTTGGACATGTTGCAGTTTCTATTAGTGATTTAAGAGCCCATTCTGAAGACTCTGGACATCTCCACAGAGTACTGCTCTGAAAACTGGATGACTCCAGAATAACCTGTTAGAGCAGATGAGCAGAACTATCTCAAGGTGCCAAGGAAAACATCCTCCACTGGAACGGAACTCTTCTGGTTTTGTCTTTGCTAGGCTGATTTTCACCTCCTGGTTTGCAGCTGCAGTCCAAGTCCTCAAGAAGTGCTTCATCTCCAAAGCAGTTGCATGGACCGCTTTGATCAGATACTTTGCCCCTTGACTTCATCTGTCAGCCCTCCTTTTCCTCTGTTCTCTTCTGTGTTCTCCCTTCAAGCACTCGCTTAACTTTCCATCAGGAAATGCTGCAGAAAAGGAGAGAGAGATTTAGTCTCCCCTTGTACCTCTTTCTAGAACTCCTCATGGACTCTGCAGGTGAAAGGTTTGAGCAGCAACCAGGTTGTGCCTCTACTTTCGGACTATACATTTCTCCACTACAATGCTGTTCACGCACACCTAGCTACGTCTCTTCTGTGGTGCTACTACCCAAGGACCTGCCATCCTTGCCATGGTTTGGATTGTACCAGCCACACAGAGGGCCCTTAGATGGAGAAGTGAATGGTTACTCAGAGACAAAACCAAGAAAACGGCTGCCAGCTCTTGGCCTAATTGGGATGCCACTGTCACTCCATCGTCCAGCCAGCCAGGTAGTCAGTCTCTAAAATCTCCTCCCAGTAAAGAGCTACTTGTGAGACAAGCTCTTCTTCCCATTTCTGCTTCCTGGAGGTGGGATACTCGAGTTTGTGAAGGAATTTGCTATTTCTTAGCTTTCTTACCTGAAAACACCAACTGCTTGCTGGCAATGCATGGCTAGATGGACTTCCATCCTCAGAGTTCCTGGAGGTTTTCATTTTTATAGTATTAAAATAGGATTGCATTTTCTATGTGTAGAAAAGCATCTTTTCAACAGGAACAAGATTTAGAATCATAGAATCATAGAAAGTTTTGGGTTGGAAGGGACCCCTAGAGGTCATCTAGTCCAACCCCCCCGCAGCAAGCAGGGACACCGCTAACTAGATCAGGTTGCTCAGAGCCCTGTCCAACCTGGTCTTGAATGTTTCCAGGGATGGGGCCTCCACTACCTCTCTGGGCAACCCGTTCCAGCCATACACCGAGCCTCTGACTATGAAGAAGTGGGTCGGGACAGGCCAGGATGCTCCATGCAGACTGAGCACTCTCCAAGTAAGGCAAGTACAGAGGGAACAAGGTACAATGGTTTACTTTCCTGTGACCATACTTACCTGTCCACTGTCATTCAATCCCCTTGGCCTTGAGGGTTGAGGAGCAAAACCAGTTAACAACAGCTACATGGATGCTGTCTTAGAGGGCAGAATTCCAATTTTAGTCATGACTCTGACAGCATGCTCTGCTTTCAGACATGTCTTCAGAGACCTGAGAAGTGCTGATTAAGGCTTACAGCTAGTATGTGTGTACTCCAGAGTGGTATCTTGTACAGTCACAATCTACTTAATTTCCAGTTCTCTGCTGAGCAGAGAAAAAACTCTAGCCCTTGCGCCCCTGAAAACGTGTTCTTGCTTAGCTAACACTAGCCTATCGTTGCATGCAACCCTTTCTGCCCAAACACTCTGCACCCAGCTTGGATCTGTGGTCTGTTTCCACTGAGGATCTGAGCATATGGTACACATCCAACAAGGGAGTGGACCTGTAACTACATTGACAGCACGCTGCCATTAAAGCATGGAGCATGTCTGGGCCATGTTCCTTTCTATGTTCAACGCTTGATCTGCAGGCTATCTGCCATCAGCAGAATTGAATTGGCTTGCTGCCACATGATGGGACAAGTCACTGGCACTTAGGCTTGATATTATTCTTACCTCATGCAGATGATCACAACTCTCTAGACAGCAGATGGCCAGCTCTACTTTGTAATTCTTGGGATACAACTCTGTCACCCCTTCATCTTGGCCTCTGCACCTAGCCAGAGTGCAGGACCAGCTGTAGCCCTGCAGGGGAAAACAATCCCTTTGTGTGCCAGGATCCACTCCATGCCTCTAGCACCACCATGCTTGAAAGACCAGCGAATCAGAGATCACTAAGCTGGAAGATCAGTGGTGTTGCTTCAATCCAAGAAAAACCTGCCCTGATAAGCATTTCAGTGCTGGTCAGCTCTAGATGACATCCACCTAGCCAGAACCATTTGATCCAATATGAATCAGTAACTTGTCTGGTCATAGAGATGGGTAGGTGCCAGGGAGGGGATTTATCAGTGGATCAGGGACTAAGCTCCCAGCCACATGCAAGTACTATATGCTATAATGAAAATCCGCTTTCTTCCAGGGAACGGAGGAGCTCCGAGCAGCACCCTCAAGCTTTTACATCAGCAGCCAAACATCTGTGATTCTCCTCCACAATGACAAAGAGACAGGATGGTACTATCAAAAACACTGGCGAGTCTGGCTGAATCACATCGAGCTCTTGTATAATCCACAGATGCATGAAACACTGGAGAAACAGGACTTTCAGATTGTGGTACCACTTCCCAGCATCAGAGATCATCAAGCAGGCTATTTTTCAGGCTGTTATTCAAATGCCAGTCTCAAGGCACAAAGATTTTAGATCTGGCTGGCTAGATCCTCTTGTCCACCAGAACTGCGAACACACTATGAATCCAGAGAAGATGGTGATCTGTCAGATGTTAAAACAGGCTGCTATTCTACATGGTGTAATTTCCTCCAACACAGAAATAACTCATCTGTTAGGATCTCTTCCTATTGGGTTGGAGGATGTTGCTTTGATAACAATACTAAAATGTCTAACTTGCCTTCACAGGTAGAAAATTCATCAGTGAGCTAACTATGGATAAAAGCAATACAGATGCAAACAGCTGGATACCCCTGGGTGACTTAACCCCATTCTTTAAAGATGTCTATTACAAAAAGGCCTTTTCAAACTGAACTCAACCCTCTCTCAAATCCTACATCAAGCTATATAGATTAGTATTTTCTATTTTAAACCCAGGATTTTTAAAGTGATGATGAAGGCCTCAAAGGTCATCTGCCTCACTGCTTGTAAATACCACTGGGCAAAAGTGTCCATCTTGACTATTTACAGTGGCTGTACACTAACTGACAGCATTATGATCTTTACCACACTGGCAACTGACTAGACTTCTAAGCAGCCTGCTGGAAGTTTGAACGACTTCTTTCCTACACCAGCACTTGTACTATCCTCAACTGCAACTCAAAAGCCAGCTTTATGTAGTCAGGGTCAATAGATACAGGGGGGGAACCAACTTGGAGTAGGAGTACCTGTTCAGTAAGAAGGGCTCTGCTAAATTAGCAATTTGGAACACTGTTTATCTGGTAGAGAAGCAGCTTTTTATGCTGGGCATCCCTCTTCAAAAACTACTGGATCAAAATTCACTGGTAAAGTAGAGAAAGGATCTGCTAAGTTAACCAAGCATCTGAAAGCAAGACTTCCTGCAGTTTCACCTGAGGTCCAGACAGTCAAAGAATATAATTGCAGGAATACTTGATGCAGAGTTTAAAACACGTTCTCTTCTATGATCTCCAGTAGCTGGAAGGAGTTTGTCTTTATTAACAGACCCTTTGAAAAAAACAAAAAGACGACTTACATAATCTTTCCAACAGGAATTTGAGATTCCAGAGAGACAAATGCAGCAAGTTGTTTTATTGCAAATTTGTAATAATTAGTCTCTCTATTTCAAACAGATAAAGGTGGATACCAACATGAAGTGTTTCCAATGCCATGCTCATAACTCCAAAGGCCCGGGTATCCTCTCAGCGCAGAGCTCAAGGAAGGAAAAAATTAATTTTAGGTCCTGCTGCTACTAAGGCAAAATGTCTTTCTAGATTACAGAGGGCTTTTCCAAGCCAGAGTACTTCATGATGGACATAGGACTAACACACAGACAGCCAATATCAACATATGGGTTGGGAACAGGCTTCTACTTTTCACTGCAGAACAACTGAAGCAGCAGGACCTAGTCAGAAGAGGAGATTATTATTCAGCCTTAAGCCTGAATACAGCATACTGTATTCAACAGACAGAAAAAGTTACCAGTCTCAGTGTTAGCTGTAACCAAATCCTCGTCCACATACAAGATTGCTGTTGTGCAGCTTAAAAGAGAAATCAGTCTGACTCATAGCCCAACTCCAACTTAAAGACTGTTGTAATTTCATAGTTTCTCCAGTTTTTTGTACTTGGCTTCTGCAGAAGGAAAAATAACAATATTTTAGGACCGGAGAGGTAAAAGCTTTAAACCCTGTAAGCTGCTATACATCTTAAAATTCAACTTAATTTACAGTATCGCTCAGGGTGATTTTTCACTAAAGCATTTAGGCAAATATAACTGTAAAATAAATTTTAAGAACCAGGTGCTTAAGTCAGATAACTAATATTAATTTAAGCCAAGGGGACTTGGGTGCCTTATGGAACTTTATGAATCCCTCTATCTGCAGGATTCAAGATCTGTCTTGAAAATTTGAGTTAGTGCATATTGTAAAAGAGAAATCAAGCCTCACTAATAAGCTGTAGTTCAATAATACCTGTACTAGTCCACCTCCATATAACTTGTCACATTAATCTTTTCCCAATGGTTACCACTTCACATACAATAATTGTCGCTCAAAAGCAGCCTAGGCAACTCCGCAGCTCAGATTTGTTGAATGGAGAAGGAACTTACTTTGTGTTTTTCAGTCCCTTTACAAGGGACTATGCTGCTAGGTAGTAACAGTAGAGGACAACAGTTACCAAGTTTTTTGGAATAGGCATCCAATTTATAAGCTGCCCGCTCCAGAGCTGCAACCTGTTCCTCAATTAGGTTGATCTGTTCCAGATATGGCTGAAGAGCAGCATCTTAAAAAAGCAGAAAAATCCTATCTGTCAGTTCTCAGTAATTCACTTCCAAGTAACAGTTCACACTTCAAACAAGAATTTCTCATGACGTTCTTCAGACAGAACAACTTAAAATCTCCTTCCTTCCCCTGCCCCAAAATCAGGTGGCGATACCAACAGCCATGTTCAGGAAAGTATAAAATATTTCAGAGCACTGGCTACACTTAACACAAGTTACAGTACAATGTGAATCAAAAGAAGCGTTATTTCCTGTCAGATCCATAATTTGGGGTAAATCAGGACATAAATTCATATGCGTTTTCTCTTATGCTAGTCTACATAGTCCATAGCTGTAAAGAAACACACAAGATTGGCATGGTACAGAAGCATGTCTATTTCAGTGAGTTTTCATTCCTTCAGCACCTAATGAAGTGTTAACTATCTGACTCTTCGATGCTTCATTTCCCAAACAAGCGTACCATTCATTATACTCCCACCTTATTTGGTTTACTTACATTTTTGATTTAAATCCTTCAGATTTCTACTGATGTTTACAGCAATATCTTTCATTTCTAGGTACTTCAAGCTAGTCAGCTTATTCATGTTTTCCAAGAGTTTGTAGTCTTCACTGGTGGCTTAAAAAGAATAGAGTTTATTTTACTTCAAAGTTGATGTGGTTCGAATTGGGTGCGGGCTCTTCAAAAGTACAAGAGATTTCAAACCAGTAGCCAAATGCAACAAACAATAGTTTAAATGGTAACAGAGGCAGTAGTATAATGCTCTACAAAAACAGAGATGACATTTTGTGAATTGTAAAAGTCAACTGGACTGATGAATACTTACTCACTGGCAATCTTTTTTTTTGTTTTTTTTTCCAGAGAAAAATCGACTAATTCCCTACATTTCTACTCTTCTGTCAGTTAAACACTTATGTTTACAAAAATGAGAGCACAAATCCAAACTGGTAATCTGTACTGTATACCCTTCAAGTGTATGCAAATCAGTAGTGCTGTGGAATGCTTTCAAAATTAGAACCTATGGAATCCACTAACTTCTTGAGCAGTTTACTTTGCTGCAGTTAATGTTGCACAGCAGTTTATTCTAAAGCATGAATGTCGAAAAACCTGTATGATCCTTGCTCTCACTCAGAAACAAAATAGCTGCGCATTCCACTCTCAGTTGTGCTTCTTTTCTAGTCCTTCTTGATCTAGACCGCTTTTGTTTGTTTGTTTTTCCATGTAAAAGCTCCTGCAAGACCAAAAAGAATTTTTTTAAAGTTGCTGATATCATACTGAATTCTTTTAAAAAATATTTGTGCTATTCTGGGACTTCATTAATAAGACTAATGTTGGTATTGTTAGTAATCTAGCAACATGCCAGACAAACTGCCGGTCTTGCTACATATGATCTAAATAAGTATAGTTTCGACAAACTACACAACTGATTTCTTTACATGAAAAGAAACAAAAACTTCCTTGTGGGTCAGTACTGCAGTGCCTTACCTGTCAGTTCGCCTGTTAAATAAGCGGCCATTTTGTTGAACATGTCTTTACAGAGTTCATTGATGTCTGCCTCTGCTGGTTCCTTAGCTTCCTCAGCTGTCTCTACAGCGGGATCCTCTAATCAGGGTACAGACAATATAGGGTTAGGAGAAAGTTTGCAGGTACAGAAACACACCATAAAAATTAAATGGTTCCTTTTTTTTTCCCCCCTTCATAACACACTTACTTTCCATCTAAGTCGTCAACTTTAAACTAAGGGTTAACAAACCTAGCCAGCTTCCTTTAAGCAATATCAAGATTACTTCAAACTGATACATTACAGTGCTTGTAAGGGACAGGCACCCGGCCAGACCGCATTTGCAAGTATCAGCCCCCTCCTGTGCTTAGACGACAGGAAAGGAATTTGGGAAGAACTTTTAAGTGACTGTGTACAATGGTACTGACGTTTATTTCTACTCACTGCTTTGGAACAGAAGAAAAGCCCCCCCCCCAGCCGGTTTCACGAGGGGCTACAACAAATCCCCACGTGTGGAAAGCGATAATCGCCACTCTTCTCCAAACTCACTCCGACCAAAATCGCCCCTTGTTCTGCTCTTCG